CTTAACGACTGAGCCACCCAGGCGCCCCTTCCCCGGCCATTCTTGCCTGGGTCCATAGAGTCTTGGGCCCTGTGTCTGTGACGCTGGCCCGGGCCCCCTGAACGCACCCGACGAGCTTTCTGCCCCCTCTGGTCTGATGTTCAGAACAGCTTCATGGTGGGGGTTTCATCGCCGAGGAGGGGCTGAGGCTCAGGGTTGAGGATCGGCCACAGCACGAGGACGCGGCAGAGCCGGACAGCAGAGCGCGTCCATCCGTCCCCTCAGCCACGGAGCGGGAGGGTGGCAGGTGGCAGGTGGGCTGCCCCGGTCGGGTCCCCGGCTGAGCCTGCCTCCGTCTGCCCCCAGATCTACATGCACCTGCGCTGCTACAGCTGCCCCAACGAGCAGCGCTACATCGTCCGCATCCTCTTCATCGTGCCCATCTACGCCTTCGACTCCTGGCTCAGCCTCCTCTTCTTCACCAACGACCAGTACTACGTGTACTTTGGCACTGTGCGGGACTGCTACGAGGGTGAGGACGGCGCGCGGGCTGGGGCGGGGCGCCGGGGGCGCTGGCTGGGCGCACACCCTTCCCACCGGGGTCTGGGAGCCAGAAGCCCCGCGGCCCGGGCTCCCCCGGGGGGGCTGCCCCTCGCTTCTCTACCCACTAAAGGGTTCCCGTCTGGGCCCCCGCTGAGAGGTGACGGCACGTGTGTAGCACTTGGCCACAGGGCTCCCACGACACCTGTAGGGACACCTGCAAGCAGGGACCCTCCCCCTGTGCCTCATTTCTCAGCCTGGCGTCTCTGATCGGGGTGAGCAGTGAAGAAGCTGTCTGTTTGTAGACAGAAACCCCAGGCACAGATGGGTCAGGGGCTTATCCGGGGCCCGTGGCGAGGCAGTGGCAGGGGTGAGGCTCCCTCCCCACGTGCCTTAATCCTGAGGGCTTTGTCCCGGGAGCAGGCTCTGCTGTGCCACCCAAGAAGGCGACTCTCTGCTTTTCGCGGGCTTCGGGTCCCGTGTTCGGTGTGGAGACATCAGCTGCTCTGTGGGGAGGGCCAGGCCCTCGGCTGGGCGCTGGGTGGCAAGGAGGAAAGCCAGCCCCCAGCTGCCTGCCTGGCGAGTCACCACGGGACTGGGCAGCTCTCCCCGGGGCCCAGCCGCAGACACAGGGAGCAGAGACCTAGAGCTTGAGGCTGCTGGGGTGAGCATCCCAGGCAGCCAGGAGAGCTAATGCACAGGGCCCGGGAGGAATCGGGAGGTAGGGGGAGCTGGGCTGGGGGCTGGCCACAGCCAGAGGAGAGGCCGGCGGCTGGAGACGGAATGGCACTGGGAAGGAAGGACAGGATGTGCATGGCCTTGCAGGGTACATGTAGAAATTTAGATTTTCTTTTTTACTGTTGGTGCACAAGAATATGACACAACTGGAAATTGCAGGTTAGAACATCTCTCTGTGGAGGGCGGGTGAAGGAGGGAGAGGCCAGAGCCCTTAAGACAGGTCACAGGCCCACAGTGCCTGGGCCTGAACAGGCCAGCAGGGCTGGGAGGAGGGGTCCTTGAATTCGAGATCCCTGCTCTGACATCCCCCTCCTCCTCTCAAGGTCATGCATTTTCCTGTTTCCTCCCCTGTCTGCACTGCTGGCTTCAGGTAGAGTGACCAGATGTCGCGGTTCCCTATGTTGAGGCAGGACAGCCCTGACCACGACCAGTTGTCCTCTTCCCCAACCCTGGGGGGGCTTTGCCTTGGGCCCTGGGCTCTGTGGATATTGGGGAGCAGCATGCTCATCCCCACAGAAGCTGGAGCCTCTCTTCCTGTCCCACTTTGAACCCGCGTGTCCCTGAGGCCTTGCGGGGCACGGGAAATGCCTTATGCCTTGGCCAGGAAATGCAGGCGCCCGCCAGAGCGCACTGCCCCCCACGCCCCCCTCCAGCCAAGGGCCTCACCCTCACCCGCCCCTCCAGCCACACTGTCCTCTTCTCCAGTGGGGCCATCGGGTGTTTCCCCAGTGTCTAGAAGGCTCTTCTTGGCCTGCTCCTTCTCCTTTGTCCTGACTCTGGTGTCTCCTGGGAACGGCTTCTGCTGTTGCTTCTCTCCCGGCACCCTGCGCGCGTCCTCACGGCCTGAGCTCGGCGGCAGTGAGCGTGCACACACAGCACGGTGCCTACTTTGCTGTCGTCTCCCCGAGTGGACTTAACTCCGCAGGCGCAGGGACAGGCAGAGAGCCCGTGTCCGCAGAGCCAGGCACCTGCCAGGTGCTCACTCAGTCCAGAATTTCTGAATGAATAAGGGACTTTATCACACACCTGCTGTGCACCTTACATTCGCAGGGGGCCTCATCGAACTCCCAGCTGGGTTCCCTGCTTGGCTCTGCCGGGTGAGAATACTGAGGCCAGGTGGGGACCTGCTCTGGGCGGAACTGGGGCTCTAATGCCTGATGTCCCTGGAGGCAGCAGGGTCCAGGGAAACTTCTGGGTTTCTGGGGAGCTGCACTCACGAGTATTGAGAATCCTTTTCCAGTCATGTTGCCAGTCGCAAATGGGGGCCCAGGAGCAGCCTCTGCCCACTGATTCCCTCAGAAGCACAGAGCTATTCCCTGCCAAGGAGGATCCTCTCCTGTGTTGTCTCCCTTCTCTGTGGGGCCCGAAGACCGGGGTGCCTGGCAAAGTGGGGCACAGTCTGTACTATCCTCACTCTGTGCCCCAGAGGCGGCAGCAGATGGTTGGCTGGGTCCCCCCACTCCAGAAGCCTCTTTGTTCAGGCCCCACCTGTCCCAACCTTCCTCTTGGTCCACTTAGAGGTCCTGGTAAGAAGTCTGCCTCCCTGCTAAGCATGTCTCCTAGCAACACTGTTATCCCCTGGCCTCTCCGCCTCTCCCAGGGAGTTTACAAACAGCACAGCAGCTGCAGGGGAGTTCAGGCTGCCCCAGAGTTCACCAGCTTTTCGTGTCTGAGTTGGTGGGCTTGGCCCTCGCCTCGCCCTTTTCTGCAGCTCTGCTCAGCATCTGGGACCCCCTCCCCTTGTCCTTTCATCTGCAGGACCTGCCCCTGCAGAGTTGGGGATGGAGGGTCTTCCCTTAAAATTAAAAAAGAGCCCCCCCCCTTCATTCCCCTCCCAATCCACCCCACCCTTCCTTCTTGGTGTCCCAAGACCCGGGAGGGGCAGAAGGGAGATCAGGAGCCAGGCTGTGCTGGAGGACCCCGATTGCAGAGCCGGGCAGCCGGGCTCTCGCTGGGCGCCGCGCAAACATTTGTTTTTCTCTTTGACGAAATTACAACTAAATTTTACTCTCATTCAGGTACTAGTGCACACAGTTGAAACACAAAATCGCCCTAACTCTTCCTCACTCCCAAGTTCATTGTATTTTCAACTCTTTAAACTTTTTTTTTTCCTAGAATAACCTAAAAATATGCTTATACTCTTGGTTCTCGATTTTTCAATTTCAGATAGGGTTCCATAGTGACCTCCAGTTGTAGAAAGCTTTGACTTAGGTATCTTCCCCCCAACCCCATACACACACACACACACAGAATTCTCTCTTCATCTTTTCATTGTGACTAGACCACAGTTTTTCTCAGTCTGTGTTCAGTGTTTGCATTATCACCTGTCTGTAAATACTGATCAGAGCTGAACCCTGTAGTGTCCCAGGCCGACATTTCCCTGTGTAACTTTTTGTTTTCCTCTGGTTATTGCTTACCTTGCTTTTGGGTTCGCTCTGCTTTCTGTGTATCTATCATTAATTTATTCCCAAATGCTTTAATTGACTAGAAGAGAGAAACCCTTCTCCGCGCCGTCAGACACATGGGCGTATCTGTTAGCTCTGGGTCTCCCCCGAGCCCTGGTCTTCCTGCTCTGGTCTGGCTGCTTTCTGGCCTCTTGGTCTTCTCCTCACCATCATCCTGGGACGCCTGCTCACCTCTCTTGTGCTGAATCACCTGTTCCCTGGATGCCGTTTTTTTCCTCGTCTGTGGTTTGCTCTCCCTTTTTGGTCAGTCCATATCTTCCAGGAGCTTCATGGCAAAAAGCAAGCATGAGAGTTCTGGGTTTTTTGTTTTTTTTTTCAATCTGAAAATTACCTTCAAATATTTTTACTATATTATCCTATTTGGAGTTTGATGGGAATTCAGTTCTAAGTTGGAAATCATCCTCCCTCTGAATTTTGAAGGCATGTTTTCCCCTGTCTTCTAGCTTCCAGTGTTGTTTTGGGAAAGTCTGCTAGAGTCTGATCCTTTGTCCTGAGGTTCTGGGAAATTTTCTTATATGTTTCTTCCATAATTTCTTCCCCTCCACTTTATCCTGCCATTCTGGAATTCCTGTTGTAGGATGTTGCACTTCTGGATGGAGCCTCACATTTTCTTTATAATTTTCCAACTCTTTTTTTGCTCTGCTTTCCAGGAGCTTTATTTATTTTTTTAAATCTTTACCCTTGAGCTTCTGTATCAAAGGTCTTTTGTTTTTGTTTTTTGTTTTATCATGTTGTAGAATGTCAGGACCTCTTCCCTGTCCTTTTTTGTTTTGAGCCCCCGTTCTTGGTATTGGGTAGAGTATCTCCTCTTCTCTTTCTGGGGGTGCTAATTACAGTTTTCTTCTGCTCCTTGCGTTATCTCTGCCTCCTGAGCTCCTTTCGTCTGTTGGCTTTGGTCTTTGACCTTTGTGTCGGAAGCTCTCCTCAAATGTCTCGTGTCCTTGGCTATTTTTGTGTTTAAGAATGGGGCTCAAAACTGCTGGGCCTCCCATCTGGGTGACGGGGCACGTGATGTGACCCTGCCAGTTTTATGCAGTGACAGGGGCAGGCACCAAATGAGGACCTTTTGATTCTGGGCCTATTTCCCTGGAGAATAACGTTCTCATCTCCAGCCTGGAAGGCAAAAGCTGGGCAGGCTGAGTTGAGGGAGCAGATGGGGCATTCAGGCCTCGTCCACTTTGTGCACATGTCCTCATTGCCCTCAGCTGAGCCATGTTCTCTGAGGACAGAACTGTCTCAACTGTCTTGAGAGTGAAAACCCAGTAGCTCCGCGTGGAGACTTGGAGCTGAGGTTCCCGTTCGCACCCTCAGCCCTCAGGACTGCCTGGTGCGTCTGGTTTTGGGGTTTCCCAGGGTTCTCGTTGGCTCCCCCCGTTCCCTGGGTCAGTGACCACACTGCATCTTCCAGAGCTATGGTCAGCATCTCTGGTCTGCTGCCCCTGGTGCTGTCCCTCTTGTGCGCAAAGTCTTGTGCCCATCCCCCCCATTTGTTCACCTTTCAGCAGGGAAGGGGGGTAGCGAGTAGTACTAAGCCCTGCCTTTTGGTGGCAGGAGTGCTGTCTTCTAAGGAGGGGGCTGAGTCTCAGACAAGTAAGCGGCTCACCCAGGGTCCCATTTCTACCATCTGACAAGGGCTGTAATCCACATGGCGCGAGGACGAGCCATCGGGGCAGGTAGACGGAGGAGGGCCGATCGAGCCACCTGCATGCAGGGAGCGTCTGATGGTGCTCAGGGCGAGGGGTAGCCCCTAGAGACATCTCTGAGACAGCCCCGGGGAGCTCTGTGGTCAGGGGGATACAGAGGGCCGGAGTTCAGAGGAGGGAGACCGACTGAACTGTGGCTTCACACAGGCACCGTGTTGTGAATACCGTTTGTGTGGTGTTTGCTTTTCCGCATATTTTTCCTTACTGTTAGCTCATTCTCATCTCCCAGGTAGCTGGTGGATGTATTATCATCCCCACTTTGTTCTCGTGAAAAAAAGAATGTGAGTAGGCTAAGAAACTTAAGATTACCTAGGGTGTCCCTGTCAGAGGCCAGACGCAGCCCTGGGTCTCTGGGTCCCCAGAATGGCTCGTGTCGGGTCGGGTGGAGGAGGGCAGACCGGCGTCCTCCCATGGAAGAGCGTGAGCTCTGGCTACGAAGGGAGAGTTTACATGAAACAGTTAAAGAAGGAGGCTGCCTTCACCCCGCTTCAGATTTTGGACAAGCCTCGCTGCCTGGAATCTGGCCCAAAGTGAAGCATCTTCCAAGGCAGAGAGAGAGGACAAGCCGGGATAAATGGAACCCAGCTGAGGGTCACAGACACAGGGCCGCACGAGACCCAAAGGCCGGGGTGCCGCCACTGGCCCCGTCGCCGACAGAGCTGGCCCTTCCGAGAGCTCAGTCCGTCCGAATGAAGAAAGGTATTGAGAGGAAACCAATCAGAAGAGGTGTCAGGAACAGTGATCTGGGTGGCAGGAAGCAGCAATAGGCAGGATCGGGGATCAAGAGGGCAGACAGGCCATGAGGGAGGAGGGATTGAAGCAGCTCAGGGCAGACCCCCCGGCCCACCAGGGCTGTGGCCCGTTGTGTCCGCTGCTGTCCCTGGTGATCCCGGAAAAAGAGGGGGAAGCATGTTCTGAGGCCCCTGTTGACTGAGCACAGAAGATTTCCATCCAGAGTAGTCAAAATTAAGTTTTCTGGGCTCATCCTCGAATTACCTGCCACGTGGAATGGCCCCACATCTTTCCAGATGACCAAAGTGTTTGTGTGCGCCGAGAAGGCCAGGCCCAGGGGCCAGCTGTAGGTGCTGAAGGCACGTGGAGGAAGCGAGCTTGGAATGGCCAGTTGCACCCAGGGTCACCGAGGTTCTGCACCCAGAGCGTGGCCCACCCCAGGCGTCCAGGGAGGGGTTATTGAACGAACAGACAGATGTGCCTGTCTGACCTGTAGCGGGGAGCTTGGTGAGGACTCCTGACCCCGGGAGCTGTTGGCAGGGACGGCCGGAGCACACTTCTTGGTGGATCCTCTCTGATGCCCTGGGGGCTCCTCGGGGCTGTGCTGTTACGGGTGCCCATTGCAGGGGCGCAGGTGGGAGGCTGGGTGGACGGCAGCCTCTTGAACTATAGCCTCCTGTCGGGCAGCTGTGGGTTAGAGATGCTGCCAGTGAGGAAGGAAGGCCTCAAGTCTCAGGGTCAGAAGGGACATGTAAAGACTCAGCCTCTCAGAACCCCTGTATAATGTCTGCTAAGAGGCCCCTCGCCTCTGATTGCATGCTCCCCCCCAGCACAGA